CATTAGGGAGGAGCCTATGTGCTGATGTCATGCCACCGTGGCCATCTTTGTAAGTGGATTATCCTGTTTAATTGCTCCACGTGGATGCTTACATATACTTAATAAAAATACTGCACCATAAAAGCTTTTTCTCTGGGCTCTGTTTGTGAGCTGTTCCCTTCAAGGTGGGGCAAGTTTTATTGCTGAGGATTGAGCGATCTGTTTGGAGAATCTCCTGTCTCTGGTGCAGGAGAGCTGTGCATTTCCTTTGCTTATACCTGGCGGTGGATAAGGCTGGAGGAGTTTTTATTGCTGTTCTTAATGCGCATTAGAACTGTGCTTCTGGTGAGTGGTTAGAAGGAAGAATTTGTCACGGATTCACCTATCACCTGATGTCACGATCAATTTTTAAACACTATAGAAGAATTTGATCATTGCTCACTTAAGTCACTATTCATATGTTGTCGCCATAGCACTGCACTTTATTAATTTATAATACTTATCTATATACTGTCACCATAGCACTGCACTTGATTAATATACTGTATATTATTTGCTCACCTAAGTCACCATTTATATGTTTGTATTATAGAGCTGCACCATAGCGCTGCAATTTCTTTTATATGTGATTCATTATAGCGCTGCACTTTCTATTTACCACTTAGTACAGTGTAAACAACTAATGTAATGCACTGTTTGGTGATGGACCATTTTAATATGTGGAAGTATACATAGCTGTTAGGTAAAGCTCTGTTTCATTGTAGACAGACTTTTAATTTTAAGCAACATATAGCACAGGTCTCTTCATTATTATCCCTTACATTCTGCTGTAAGCAACACCACACCTGAAAGCTCTCTTTGGGAAATGGCATATGGACTTCCCCAATTATGGTCTGAGGAATAAAATATTGGAAGGCTACCTAAAAGTCTGTAAATGTACTATCAATTGAACGTGGAGAGAAATGCAATTTAAGTTGATCCATAAAGTATTTATCATGCTCACACAATTCTCTTGGCGCTTTATAAATAGATAATAACATAATTAGGAGACATTGGACACACACTCATAATTATGCTCCAACCAAAACGTTTTTTTTATGAGGTGGCGCTCCTACATAGAATATACATTCTCCTCATCGGAAATAGTGCTGTTCATGACATCTTTTTGAAACACAAAATGGTATCTCAAGGCCTCCCTGACCCACTCCCTGGGCAATCCTAGCTTCCTGGTCTGCATATTTCAGTCTATCTATCCATGTTGCACGCATCCTCATCCTCTCTGTTTGACTTGTGTGATCTGGGAGCTGACCATCCCCACCATTCTTAGTTGCTCATGTTTTATTGAGATAGTTAATGTACAAGCATGGTTAAGGCTGACAAGTTTAGAGTCATCCATATTGTGGGTTAGTTTTCTCCTCCTGTACCATGCGAAGCAGCTAACCACTATGCCGATACTGGCAGTACATATGTCTTAAAGGATAAGTTCACCTTTATTCGCCTTTTTTTTTTCTAAATTCCAGCTCCCGTATGTACCAGTATAGCATTATTTTACTTCTTTTGCGGAAATTCAAAAGCCTTCCCTTTTTCTACCCACCTTTATGTCAGTGTCCAGATGGATGTACAAAAAGTTTTTCCATTACTTCTGCCTTATTCCCTGCAGAGACTTTAGGTCATGACTAGAGATGAGCGAATCGAACATGGCGAAGTGGAATTTGTTTCGAAGATCAGGAAAAATTCGATTCGCGCCGAATCCGAAAATTAGCAAACTTCGGATGCACGAATCGAATTTTCCCAAAAATGGCGGCGACATGTGTGGCGACGGAGCGGGGATCTCTGGGAAGGCGCGCAGACAAGGCGCGCTGACCCATAATGCATTCATTCATGACATGTGATCGCATTAGCCAATCAGCAGCCAGCCAGCCAGCACTGTGTAATGGTGGAGCTATAAATTGCGGCCATCTTAGAATTCTCCATTAGCCTCCGGTCATTCAAGAGAGACAGACCTGTCTGTATTAGGGACAGAGTTAGGGCCACAGAGACTTTAGGGCCACAGAATTGTTACTCAGGGACACAGAATCGTTACTCAGGGACACAGAATCGTTACTCAGGGACACAGAATTGTTACTCAGGGACACAGAATTGTTACTCAGGGACACAGAATCGTTACTCAGGGACAGACACAGAATTGTTACTCAGGGACACAGAATCGTTACTGAGGGACACAGAATCGTTACTCAGGGACACAGAATCGTTACTCGGGGACACAGAATCGTTACTCAGGGACACAGAATCGTTGAATTAAAGAGTATGTCAGACAACACGCAGAGGAGTGGCAGAGGAGGCAATGTTTCAGGAGCGAGCAGACGTGGCAGCAGAGGAAGGGGTCGAGGCAGCACTAGTCGCAGCCAGAGGCCAGTGCTCCCGGTGTCATCCAGCGGTCGTGTCTCCACCGACAACCCTGCCGTCATCGATTGGTTGACTCGGTCGTCTTCCTCTTCCCAGGTCAACTCTGACACCTACAGCCAACGGTCGGTGGGTACGTCAGACACAACCGTTAGTTGGCATGGCCCGGGAGCAAGCCCACTGAAATCACGTGTCCTCTACCTGCCCCTGTCCTTTGGTGTTCCCTCACCAAGCGAAGTATCGCATGCTGTGGGCTCAGCCCCACTGTACAGTGAGGAAGAGCTAACAGAGGGCGGTCAGGAACGGGGGGAGACATCCGCCTCTTCAGCAGCCAGGCGAAGAAGTAGTGGCGAGGAGAGTGGCTCGGTAGCCGGTCTAGAGACAGGTCTGTCTCCTGAGCCACATGCAGCCGAGGGGGCTAGTAGTGACGCGGAGACCCTAATTGATGATGATGAGGCTGATTGCACTTGGCAGCCTCGTCGTCATCAGGCTATTGCTTCCGCATCATCAGGAGAGAAGAGGGTGCCAGCTTGCCAGCGAGCAAAACAGTCGGTGGGTTGCATAGTCGACGACTATCAAGAGTCCAATGGCAGAGTGGCGGAGCAGAAGCAGCGTCAATTGAAGGCCATACACAGGCCTAGGTTTAAAAGTCCCTCACAGTTAATTCCAATAACGAACTCTACTCCTCCGTGCAATCTACTTACGAGACCCTGGGCAGGTCTGGGTCCAATTTGTGGTAGAGACTGGTTTTGTTCAGCCATGCTTGAGCGAGTAATAACAGGTCTGTGCTGCCCTTTGGTGTCTGGCTTAATGCGCACAACACTGAACGTCCCAGCGTTTGTCAACGATTTGCCGTTAAGTGATGCAAACCCGTTGAACCACGTTCATGAGGAGCCGGTACAGGGGGCCATGAATCAGTATGGACCTGGCAGCAGCGTGAGCAGACGACAGAGGCACATGGCGCAGGGTGGCGGTGTAGGCAGCAGCATTATTCTGAAGCCATACACAGGCCTAGGTTAAAAAGCGGAAGCCGTCAGCAGCGTGAGCAGACGACAGAGGCACATGGCGCAGGGTGGCGGTGGATGCAGCAGTATTCGGAAGCCAAACACAGGCCTCGGTTAAAAAGCGGAAGCCGTCAGCAGCGTGAGCAGACGACAGAGGCACATGGCGCAGGGTGGCGGTGGAGGCAGCAGCAATGGAAGGCCATACAGCACCCTATCACAAAATGGAACCCACCAACAGTGTAAGGAGACCTGAAAGTGGCACATGGCAGAGTCTGGCGATGAAGTCAGCAGCAATGGGAGGCCGTACAGGGACCCATGACACACTCTGGACCTGGCAGCAGCAAGAGGAGGCGGTACAGGGGCCCATGGCAGAGTGGCGAAGCGTAAGTCTATTAGTCGTCTCCCCACGCTGCTGCTGGGGGGACTTTTTAACATAGGCCTCTGTATGGCCTTCAATTTTAGCTGCTTACGCTCCGCCACTCTGCATGGGCCCCTGTACCGCCTCCTCATGCTGCTGCCAGGCCCGTAATCTGCCATGGGCCCCCGTACGACTCCTCATGCTGCTGCCAGGCCCGTAATCTGTCATGGGCCCCTGTACCGCCTCCTCATGCTGCTGCCAGGTCCAGAGTGTGTCATGGGTCCCTGTACGGCCTCCCATTGCTGCTGTCTCCATCGCCACACTCTGCCATGTGCCACTTTCAGGTCTCCTCACACTGCTGGTGGGTTCCATTTTGTCATAGGGTGCTGTATGGCCTCCCATTGCTGCTGCCAGGCCCGTAATCTGCCATGGGCCCCCGTACCGACTCCTCATGCTGCTGCCAGGCCCGTAATCTGTCATGGGCCCCTGTACCGCCTCCTCATGCTGCTGCCAGGTCCAGAGTGTGTCATGGGTCCCTGTACGGCCTCCCATTGCTGCTGTCTCCATCGCCACACTCTGCCATGTGCCACTTTCAGGTCTCCTCACACTGCTGGTGGGTTCCATTTTGTCATAGGGTGCTGTATGGCCTCCCATTGCTGCTGCCAGGCCCGTAATCTGCCATGGGCCCCCGTACCGACTCCTCATGCTGCTGCCAGGCCCGTAATCTGTCATGGGCCCCCTGTACCGCCTCCTCATGCTGCTGCCAGGTCCAGAGTGTGTCATGGGTCCCTGTACGGCCTCCCATTGCTGCTGTCTCCATCGCCACACTCTGCCATGTGCCACTTTCAGGTCTCCTCACACTGCTGGTGGGTTCCATTTTGTCATAGGGTGCTGTATGGCCTCCCATTGCTGCTGCCAGGCCCGTAATCTGCCATGGGCCCCCGTACCGACTCCTCATGCTGCTGCCAGGCCCGTAATCTGTCATGGGCCCCTGTACCGCCTCCTCATGCTGCTGCCAGGTCCAGAGTGTGTCATGGGTCCCTGTACGGCCTCCCATTGCTGCTGTCTCCATCGCCACACTCTGCCATGTGCCACTTTCAGGTCTCCTCACACTGCTGGTGGGTTCCATTTTGTCATAGGGTGCTGTATGGCCTCCCATTGCTGCTGCCAGGCCCGTAATCTGCCATGGGCCCCCGTACCGACTCCTCATGCTGCTGCCAGGCCTGTAATCTGTCATGGGCCCCTGTACCGCCTCCTCATGCTGCTGCCAGGTCCAGAGTGTGTCATGGGTCCCTGTACGGCCTCCCATTGCTGCTGTCTCCATCGCCACACTCTGCCATGTGCCACTTTCAGGTCTCCTCACACTGCTGGTGGGTTCCATTTTGTCATAGGGTGCTGTATGGCCTCCCATTGCTGCTGCCAGGCCCATAATCTGCCATGGGCCCCCGTACCGACTCCTCATGCTGCTGCCAGGCCCGTAATCTGTCATGGGCCCCTGTACCGCCTCCTCATGCTGCTGCCAGGTCCAGAGTGTGTCATGGGTCTTTGTACGGCCTCCCATTGCTGCTGTCTCCATCGCCACACTCTGCCATGTGCCACTTTCAGGTCTCCTCACACTGCTGGTGGGTTCCATTTTGTCATAGGGTGCTGTATGGCCTCCCATTGCTGCTGCCAGGCCCGTAATCTGCCATGGGCCCCCGTACTGACTCCTCATGCTGCTGCCAGGCCCGTAATCTGTCATGGGCCCCTGTACCGCCTCCTCATGCTGCTGCCAGGTCCAGAGTGTGTCATGGGTCCCTGTACAGCCTCCCATTGCTGCTGTCTCTATCGCTACACTCTGCCATGTGCCACTTTCAGGTCTCCTCACACTGCTGGTGGGTTCCATTTTGTCATAGGGTGCTGTATGGCCTCCCATTGCTGCTGCCTCCACCGCCACACTGTGGCTCCACACTCTGGTTTTGGCCCCGTGACTGCCCAAATGAGTGAAGTGTGCGGTGATTCTAAGATCGACGGCACTCATCTGCATGTCATACTAACTGACAGTATTATTTCTCTTCCCCAGCAGACTCCAAGGGCATTTAAATTAAAGGTACAGTGTTCTGCACTAATATAAAGGCTCTCTGAAGCCTAGAAACACCCTTTTTACACGTTAAATTCGCAGCGAATATATTCGCCTCGAATCGAATTTATTCCGCGAATTCGGCGAATCAGCCGAATCAAATTTTTGAATAATTCGCTCATCTCTAGTCATGACACTTGAAGCAGTTAACCACTTGACCTCATTAGCACACACCCTGCATCATCTACCCTCCTACCTACTACCCACTTCCAGGTGCATGAATATTAAATGAAAAGCAATCAATCAGTGATCACTGTTCTCAATAAATACACAGACATCAATTATTATTTTTCTACCTTAACTTTAATCTTGCATAGATCATTAATTTGGCATAGTGTGCTGAGTGAACAGATAACAGTCTATGTGGATAGAGCTGTGGTATTGAAAACAGGAGAATTGTGTTCTAATTGTGTTTCAGATCATCCCAATGATATAAGTTGTACCTACAGTAACTGGTTATAGATATACAAGCTGCATTTTAGATCCCTGCCTATTCCCCTGTGGAGTCAAGTTTGGAATGGTACTACTCAATATTCACAGGCATATTTTGTAGGTGTTTGGTTGATTGCATATGTACATACTGTATGTATCTGCATTGTTGATTTCATTGTATTAATGTAAAAAAGAGGAATTTTGATGCACATGTATGTTTCATATCCAGCACAGGACACAGGCTGGATATTCATGGATTCTAGGCTATAGGTTGCAACCTTTAGGTTATCAGACACTGGCAAAGCCTTGCTGGGCACGCCCCTTGGGCATACCTGTCAGGATAGGCAGGATAGCGCCAAAGGGTTTTCAGCGCTGTACAATAATGACAATACATGATGCAGATGAAAGTTTGCCATGCATAAGTATGCGCAGTATACTGGGCTAGAGAGATGTCTGTGGACTTGGGCAAAGGCACATGCAGGTGTGCGCGTGCATGTGTACTCACGCATTGAGGCACGCGCCTGTCAATAATGCAGGCGCCAAAATGGCTATTTAAACAGGCTGCAGTTTCTGTCTCATTGCTGTTAAGTCTACAGTTTCTCAGTGTGTTCCTGATTCCTGTGCCTGACCTCTGATACTAACCCAGCTTGTTCCTGATTTCTGCTTGTCTGCTACCTGCCCTGACCCTGGCTAGTCTTTGAATTACTCTTTTGCCTCCTGTTCCTGTCTGATCAAACCTCCACTGCTGACCTGGTCTGTAACCCGACTACTCTGCTGTCTACCATCTATGCCTGATCTGCCCGACCGTTACCGACCCGGCTCATCTGACCCTGCATCTTTAATCCTGCCTACTGCAGCTCATCAGTCCTGCAAATCCACATCTGGATCCTGCTTCCTGCTGCACTTCTACAGCCTGCTGACAGCTACGATTCATGCCATGTCATCTGCCATCAGCCTGTCCTGCTGCTTCACATACCTGCTGACTGCTACTGACACACAGACTACTGGACTGATCACAGGCACTCATACCTCGCTGTACTCCTGCAGCTGCTGTTTTACTATCAGAAGCCCTCGAGCTGGAGCTGTATGAGAGGCCTTTCTCTGCATGTGAGGCTCACTATCCAGGTACATGACAGTATCAGTATTACCCTTCCCTACTCCGTTGAGATCTCAGTTTTTTAGCAAACAATGCAGAGTAATGCAGGAATTTCCTTTTATCCTAATTGTACAGCACAGGACACAAGCCATCTTCTCCTATGTCCCTGCATTACCCTAGATTTCTTGCTGAACAAGTAAGCTACCACAGAGTAGGGTAAGATTATCAAAAACCCTGGGCTGTTCCCAACCATGAATAGGACGGAAAAAAGGCAAACAGAATGGTGCCAACATGCCCAACAATAACAAGGGTCAATGGACCCAATTCAAAGTGTGCTTCAAAAACCTTGCAGCTGAAGCTGAATCTGTAGCAGTATGGATGTCCTCTGATAGAAACTGGAGAAGGTGTGAACTGAAGACCAGGCCATGGCATTTCAAAACTGGGAAATGGATGTTTAATGTCAGAATATCCAGGATACACCCTGTAATCTGGTGGCGTGAGCACGTAAGAGTTCAGGAGGTGTCTTATCTTTAGAGCTCTTGAAATAAGTTGCCTTGTCCACCTGGCAACTGCATATTTTAAAACAGATTGTCCTTTCCGAGGCCTTAATGAAGAGAGAAAAAAATAGTATGTCTTCTTTTGGAAGCTGTGTCTGAAAGCTCTGACAGTGACCAGACAATGAAGAACAATCTCTTTGGATACTTTAGAAGCAGGGAACAAAGAGGGAAGGGCTATACCTTCATTAAGTTAGAAGTTACATGCCACCTTAGGAAAAAAAAGGTAGGTCTTGGGTGCAAGACTACTTAGCTTTTGTGAAGGATCAGGAATGTCTCCTTACAAGAGAGAGACGCTAGTTTAGAGTCATGTCAGACAGAAGTGATAGCCACTAAGTAGGCCACTTTTCAGGAAAGATCATCTAAAGAGAGCTATATGAGGATATATCTCTATTAGGTTCAAAGGGTGATTTCTGCAGTGCAGAGAGAACCAAATTAAGGTCCTAAGGAAGAACAAGGTGCTGTAAGGGAGGTCTAATCTGAGAAAAAACCTTGAATAAAGACAAAATGAAACCAGGGATTTGGGAACAAAAATTGACAAGGCGAAACCTGTCCCTTGAGAGTACTTAAGGCCAAATTATGGTCAAGTCCTGATTTTAGGAAGGCCTGAATGTGAGGTAGAAAATTCTCTGGGATTGAAATGCAGACAAATGAAAAATTTCCTGATATGATAGTATTTGTTTTCTGGAAGTGGGTTTTCTAGCCTTGAGCAATGTGGGAATAACAGAATCAAAGGCCCCTCCGTCTCTTAAGTCTCATGCTTCAACAGCTATGCCCTTAAAGTGTTACTAAACCCACAACAGTAAAATCAGTCTGTATATGCAGTAAAGTATGCTTGATATACGCACTGTGGAACCTAAGGGATTAATCCTCCACATTGTGTAAAAATGCTGTTTTATCCTCCCCTTCTTACAGTGCCTCCCGCTTATCTCCTGATAAGACATATCCTCTGGAGACACTCTTCACATGCTCAGTTGGTGTGTATTACTAGAGAGGTTTTTTTTTTCCCTGGGAGAGTGCATGTGATCAGCACTGTCCAGACAGAGGTCAGGGATTCTGCATCCTATTAGAACAGAATGAAAACTCCTTCTACAAGCTTTAACCAGTGCTCTGCTGAACAATGATAGAAGTCAGAAGACTGCTATATACTGCTGATGGGAAAAGGTATTTAGCAGTTTATATTTACTAAAATAATTGCATTTACATGTACTGCATACTATGGGAGACCAGAGTGAATGCAGGGTCCTGGGCTTAGTAACACTTAAAATCCATGCTGTCTGTTGCTTTAAAATATTTTTTCCAGCTCTTTTCCATTCCGCTGGTCTACAGACTGGATATCCTATTTAGGTATTAATCTCACTCCCAGTTATTCAGATATGTTTGCTGCTAATTATCCACCGTGTATATCACGTCTATCTACTCTACTGAGGATTTGGCATGGTTATCCTATTTCCTTCTTGGGTAGAGTCACGGCTGTTAAAATGAATATCTTGCCTAAACTTCTTTATCTTTTTAGAGCACTTCCAGTTCCAGTCTCAAAAACGTTTCTGACCCAATTTCAGCGGACCATTAATAATTTTATCTGGGGTAATAAGCGTGCACGTTTTGCCTCAGCGATTTTGTACCGCTCACAACGGACTGGAGGCCTCGGTCTTCCCAATTTTTGGCTATATTACCTTTCGGCACGTTTTGCGCAGCTGTCACAGTGGGCAACTATTAACTCTCAGATCCCATGGGTCAAGTTTGAATCTCAGTCCGTACGCCCATTCTACTTACCGAGCATTTTGTGGTCCAGGGTCTCTCCACGTTCACTTACCTTTTATAACTCCATAGTGACCCATTCAATGACACTTTGGTCCACATACAAATTTAAATTAAATTTGGTCTCTCCTATTCCCCCCGGTATTTCATTTTTTGGTGATCCAACTTTTGCACCAGCTTTTTCTTCTCCTCAACTGTTTCGTTGGTGGTATGATCAATCTCTTATCAGATTATCTGATTTTCAAAGAGGAGGATCTTACATTACCTTTGATATGCTGTGCGCGCTTTTTGATATTCCCCTTCGCGAGTACCATCGTTACCGACAGATTAGACACTTTTTTGAATCACATTTTGGCCTTACACCGTCTTCTCCGGTTTCCTTTTTTGAACGTACCAGCCGTGACTCTCCCAGGGGTAGGGGTCTTATTTCCAATTTTTATCACCAATCTTTACTTTGTCTTTTTCATACGCCTCCGTTGTACCGACAAAGGTGGGAGGAGGATAGTGGTACCACTTTTTTGGATGAGGATTGGGATTCCATGGTGGATAATATCTGTAAAAGCTCTTGATCTCTTTCTGTTCGTGAAACGGCCCTTAAGGTTTTAACTAGATGGTATTATACCCCATCAAGACTACATAGATTGTACCCACAAACGTCCCCTCTATGTTTCCGGGGCTGTGGCCTCACAGGCACTTTGGTGCATATATTTTGGGATTGCCCGTCCATATCTTTGATTTGGCGCAGGATATCCGAGGTGGCCACCTCACTGGCGGGTACCCCAGTATGCTTATCTATTCAGACTTGTCTATTGGGGGCTCATATCCCAGGGGTCCCTGATGCCATTATGAGATTGATACAT